TTCTTTTGGCTGGAATTTTTTATGTCTAACCTAGGTGATTTTGCTTAATAATTGCAGCTGTTTATGGGCCGAAAAAGATTGCTTAATCTATAGTGAGCCACTGCCGTCACACATTATAAACAAAATAATTTTTTTATTTCATGGGTGGTGTCGAAGTCAAAAGAAAATGTTTATTACAAATTTAATGCCGTGTATTTAAATTAAAATACAAGAAGAATGATAGTTGTTGAATTTTCATGCTAGACATTTCTGTTTGTCTAATATACTTTAATTATTTTGAGAACGAAAAAAGCAATTTGAAAAGATAAAAGAAGGAAAAAGCTATAATACACGGGTAGTAAAAACCCTCAGGGGTTGGCCTGGTGGCAATTGACTTGAGCCTTGGGGTTTGCTCCCTTTCAAGGTCTCAAGTTCGAAACCCACTGGGTGCAAACAATTTCTGAGGGCCATCGGATTGGGTAAAACCTGAATTAATCGTGGTGCACTTGCGGGAAACTCCTTGCCAAGGGCCTGTGCACCCCCGGGATTAGTCGGGGCTCAAAGAGACTCGGACACCCGGTGCAAAATCAAAAAAAATACACGGGCAGTTTGTTATTTTCTTTTGCCGTCTCATATTATGAAGAAGCAATTATTCCATATCTTTATCATCCCTGCTTTCTTTATGTCAATTGTAGTGATCATATGTGTCCGACAGAATACATTACAGGTAATAAATCGATGTTTGAGAATGAAGACCTGCAACCGCCCCGCAACCCGCAAGAATATATATTTTTTAAAATCAAACCGCCCCGCACCCGCACCGCCCCATTGCCATCCCTAATCTCCAATAAGCATTGGAGTAGGTCTCACCTAAAAAGGACAAAGAACACCCTAATACAAAGCTCTCCTTCAGATATCCCATCAAAAATGTAGGTCGGACTTGGTGAAAATTTGAAAGAGTTTAGACTTTGGTTTTGGCTTCTTTTTTAGTACCCTAATTCTCTTTTTGGCTTTGATACCATGAAATAAAATAGAGAAAAGACCTTCAAGAGAAAAAATAAATAAAACCATGGTGCTACGAGAGAATTAAAAAAAACGAATGTTCTCTGATAAGTCTTGGTGGGCAGATTTACATGATACCTGTGTTGACGGGAGGTAGTAGGTACTCGGTGGTATAGTCAAGGAGCACACAAGTTGGCCCGGACATCATCGTCATTATAAAAAAGGCTCTCTGAATGGCTCGCTGCCTATTTAGTTACTACTTTTTTATGTTTTGATTCTAGAACAGAACTAGAGATCCTGTCCCCCTCCCTTGAAAACTCCCCTTGATGAGCTCTCATAGTTTTGCTGAATCTAGTTATCTTGAAAACTGTTCTAGTCTTATGTGTCTCATTTGTTTGAAGTACAGTTGCAATGCAAGCACTGTTCTGCCCTTGTCATACAAGTTTCCCATCTGCAAAAAGATAATATACTCTTTGTTATCAAACTATATCTAGTAAAAGGTTATGCGAGATGGATTTCCCGCTTCCCATTGTATTTATTCAGAAGGAGAAAAAACTTTCTTTTCTCCTCTGCAAATTTTCGCTTTTTATTACACATCACAAACAGATGTCTTAGTGCACGCACCTACTGTTAAAAAGGCTGAGAATTTGGGCCAATGATATTGATTTTCCTATGTTGAGCATGTGGCATACCCTTGCATGTTTTACGATCAACACTGTGTAATAAACATTTGGGCCATTGGCCTTCACACTTTTTCACACTGTAAGTGGTGCCATTTATGAATAAAGTAAAATAAGATTGACTTTCTTCTTGCTTTCCTTTTGCATATTAATTAAGTTCTCGTGAGATGCTGTATTCATCTGTTTAGTGTTTTAAATCTGCTGCCTCTACCAGCTTTACCAACGTGAGGAAGTTGAAGAGGTTAAAATAGTTCCAGCAACCAAGGAAGATAAGATGAAAGAATACCATATGGCAGCAAACCGTCTGGATAGAACTAAGTTGGTCAGTGTCTTATGCTAAAGCTCTGTGAAATTTTTTAAAACAGTTTTCGGTAATGATTTTTAGTAGTCTTTTATCATATCTCATGTAAAATGATCATGAACGTTTTACTACCCTGTCACATCCTGCTATTTCTTCCTGAAAAAGGATACAGAAGAGGAAAGTAAATCTACCTGATCATTTTTTATCTCACACTAACTGTTGATATCAGCAAACTAGCATAACTGGTATAGATTTGTTGCAACAGTGACAGAGTCGCGCTATAATTAATAGTGTTTCATAAGGTTCAAGAGTCATCCTTTGGTTCTTTTAACTGTTTCAGATACACTTTTGGTAATTGGGCTATCAGTAGTTCTTCGCCTCTTTTTCTTTCATACGAACTGCAATTTACTTTCAGGTTCTTAGAAAACTCGCAAAGAAACCATTGGCGAAAGATGACAGTGGTAGGACTTTCATTCAGGAACCTGTTGGAAAAGATGAAATTGTGGCTGAGGTGATACTTCGTCCCTAACTTGTTGCTACATACTCTTTTTATTTTTGCATTCGGAAATCTTGGTTGATAACCTTTGCCTTAAAAGTGATGTGCTTTGTAAAACCCGGGGAAGAGAAAATTTACAGTAAGTTCAGACTTGCGGAGCTTGCTTTCCTTTAGTGATAGCCAGGCAGCTTCTTTTTTTTTTTCCCCTCTAAAAGGTGCTTACTGTCTCTCTCTATGTTTTTTAATTCTTTTCTCTTTGTGTTATAACTCTTCTAAAATTTTGGTTTTTACTGGTATTCTGCACTATCCACCTTTTGAGGGACAAAAATCTGTAGAGAGTCTTCTCTATTTCCACTCAGCGGAGTTTTTGGTACATAATAGCTGGATTTCTATAGGATATAGAAGTCGCTTAGTGGACAAGCTAGTTTATTTCCTCACTGGTTCCCAGATTCAGGTCGGCGAGGATTTTAAGTCCGGTAGTACATTAAAAACTCTAAACTTGCACCTTTCGCAAAAAAGAGTCACAGTTTCTCTCAGCAATTCTGCTTTATGTGGGAGTATATGGAACAATGGAATAGGAGAACAATGTATAAAGAAGGGATCTTTCTTTTCACTTGTGCTTTTGGTGGAAGTCGAAAATACCATGTTGTATGAATTATTGGCCACATTTGGTGGAAGACGATGTATGACTCAAGTAGAGTCACATGCACATCTTATACATTTTTTTTGACATGGATTGGTGTTTATTAATATAACTTTTTGACTTGTCAAAAAAAATTCTGTTCTGTAGTTGTAATCTTGGTTGTGATGTTTCTAGGATGGTACGAGTAATGCCAACATTTCCTTACCTCTTCTTCCTTCCCCTTTTTATGTTTTTCTAACCCGAGCCTTGAGTCTCAAATTCCATCACCTTTCAGTTTGTTCACTTGGCCAATCATTTTTCTCTGTCCCAATAATCATAGGACACTAACGTGCCCTTAATTACCTGTATTATTCTTCCTGACAATGTTTATCAGCACCATATATGGACACTACTCTCTTCCACCTTTTGCTAATCCGTATTTCAATTTACAACAAATCCTTGCTCATTTTTAAGTCCTTTGAGCTCAGTGCTTTTTTTCTGCAGAAAATGCTTAAGACCTTTGGAGTGTCTTTTGAGATCTCATATAGGACGCTATCTGAACAGACACTATAAGGTTACTGTGCATTAGTGCAGTAACCCAGTATGATCTTTATCACAATTGCTTTTGAAAAAAAAAGGAGTTTATTCTCTTCCTAATGTTCCTTAGTGACAGAATGGATCCAGATTGACTACAGTTATGGTCTATACATTTTTTCTCTTCCTAATCAGCTGGTCTCGCTGGGGTTTTAATCCCTCTATTAGTGGATTAGGCTCTACATCAATGTTTTAAAAGGGACACTGTTGCTCAAGGCCTAATTGGCTAAAGACAGTCAGGTTTAGCAAATCTGAGTCATAAAATTTTGGCATGAGGCATTTGCATTTCCCTTTTGCCCAAGGCAATGTGCTTCAAAGGTTTTTCTTCTCTAATGAAAAGAAGGACGTGTAAAGAAAATTTAGTTATTCCTAATTTAGTGATCCAAAACATGGGTATGTATTAGAACTAATCTTTTTGGTATGAAGGTTCACAAAACTAATAAAACATGAAGGAAATAGTCTAAATCTTTCGTTTGGGAAACTACATTTAATGTTTTCTTTTTCACTCTTGCAAACTGACTTTAGCTCTAGCAATCTCGGTTTGGACCTTTTTCTGTTTTATGTGTGGTGCCAAGCGAAAGTTACTTAAGGAAAGCCTATCCCTGTCACTAGGAATTTGACGGCAATTTTCTTTCTTTATTCTGTAGCTTACAGCTGTTACCTTGTTCTCTGTATGTGGATTGGCTTGCTGGTGGGATATGTTATTTGCTAAACTGAAAGCCTTACTGTCTTAACTGTATTTAGATCACTAGTTATTTGCGTCACCTTCCTGCTCTTAAACTGTTTGTGGAAAGACTGGATATAGAAATCACCTCCAACTTTCTTTTCTTTCGAAATCTTTTCTGTGATTACTCTGTTAGAGGTTTAGTTTAGTAACTTGATGTGCACCTCTGATATTTTCCATTGAGAAAATAGCCTAGTGTCCTTCCTTATGACATGAGTGCTTGAAGACTGCTCTAGTACATGGTGTTTAATGAATACTTGAAGTTCTCACAATCTATTTGTTGAAGTGCATGACCATTTCATCTAAAAGCTTAAGCTGTTAGAGAGAGCATACTTTTATTTATTTAATTTTCTTTTCAACACGCTCCCTCACGTGGGGGCTTCATTTTTTTTCATTGGCCAAGCACGTGAAAATTCATTTTAATAAAAGAAGACTTCTTGTATTTCTTGTATTTCTGTGTGTATTTTTACATCCCATGAGAATAGCTACTTATACAATGAGTCCTAAGACTAAATAAGGAAAGACAATAAATTACACATTAATTGCAATTAATTATAACGAAGGCAAAAATTCTAGAATCAATCTACTCCTACAATTAAGCTAGGAAATCTCTAATCAATCAACACTATAAAATGGGTGACGAAATGATCATACATTGTATTGTGGAAGATTTATGGTGTAGTCCATATTCTTCATAATCATGTTAGAAGTAAATAGAGAATGTATGTAGCAGAACTTACGGGTTTTAATCAAAATGTAGACAAACATGCCTTTGGTGAGAAGTGTACGACATGTCTAAGATATGAATATGACATCATCATACATCTCGGTGCATTATTGATGAGTACTTGTGGGGAAGAAAAGAAAATAGAGAGAAACCAGATAAGCCAATTATTTTAATGAGCGAAAATACTTTTTACCACTACATTTAAGAAAAAGGAAGAAAAGGGAAAACCTTCAAGATGTGCGGATTTGGGAATCAAAAAGATGGTGACTTATTGTAATATTTAATATTTTATTTTAATTACTCTAACTTCAAGATAGGCAAATTGAGGAGCCCTCTGGGGCTTTGGTTTAGTGGTAAGAGTTCAGGTTGTGATGTATGGATTAGGTGAACATCATGGGTTTGAGTCTTGCTGCCATTAAAAATCTGGTATTTTAGTGGAGAGGGGCAGGCCTATTATCTACCGAGTTTCGAACTGTGCACCACAAACTGTCGGGAATTCTCGTGGTTTTCAAAAAAACAAAAGATAGGCAAATTGAGATTACGTAAGGAAGTCTCTTGAAAAATATTCTTCAGACATGGTGCATTTAATCTCTTAAAGAGTTTTACTTGGAAGTAGGAGTTCCTAGGGTTGGATCCGTAGTGGTTTGTTATCTTTTTAGTTGTATGATGTATCCTTGACATGCTATCTTTTGGAAAACATCAGTGTTCCTTTTTTTTTTCCCCTCGATATTTGGCCAGTCAAGAACTCTCACGTTCAGAAGATGAAAGTAGTGGTCATGAGGATGTTGAGATGGATATGCGGACGGACATACCAGGATTGATAAGATTAGAAATGAAGATATTCGGGACAGGGTAGGAGTAGCCTCGGTGGAGGACAAGATGCGGGAAGCGAGGCGTAGGTGGTTTGGGCATGTGAAGAGGAGAAGCACAGATGCTCCAGTGAGGAGGTGTGAGAGGTTGGCATCGGGTGGTGGTGGTCTGAAGAGGGTAGAGGTAGGCCAAAGAAGTACTGGGGAGAGGTAATTAGGCCGGACTTGGCGTTGCTTCAGCTCACTGAGGACATGACCCTTGATAGGAAGGCGTGGAGGTCGAAAATTAGGGTAGAAGGTTAGTAGGTAGTTGACTGTGTGTCTTCCCCATACCGGTAGTAATAGTTAGCTTTGTATTCGGTTATTGACATTCTTGATTACTACATGTTTTCTTATTATATTGCTGTTGATACTGCTTGTTCTCTTATTATCTTGTTATTGTTATTTCTTGTTTTCCTATTATCTTGTTGTTAATGCTTTCTCTTTCTATTCTTGAGCCCGGGGTCTATCGGAAACAATGTTGTCAAAGGTGCGCTTAAAGCACGCTTAAGCCCTGAAGCGAGACCCAAAACATGTTGAGCGCTTCGCCTCGCTTTGTGGGCGTTTCAGTGTCGCATAAAGGCTCTAAGGCGTAGTTTTCCTTGCCAATGAGTGTAATCCTGAAAAGACGATACTAAATAATTGATATTTCACTTTATCATAATATTTTTCAATTTCGTTGTTCATATATTTGTTATTCATGCATATATTTATTGGTCTTGGACTATATATACATATTTTTACTTTTTCTCCAGTTGCGCATTTTTTCATTAAAGCCCACGCTTTATTTGCGCTTTGCGCTTAAAGCCCCAACGGACCCTAGAGCTTTTTTGCGCTTTTCGCCCTTGATAACACTGATCGGAAACAACCTCTGTACTCTCAAGGTAGGGGTAAGGTCTACGTACACACTACCCTCCCCAAATCCCACTCGTGGGATTATACTGGGTTTGTTGTTTTTTGATATTTGGGAATGCCAATTTCGGTCATTGCAAACTTTACATTGGATAGAAATTATTTTGTGTGACCTATCTACAATGTCAGACTTCCAATAGTATTTGGATGTTATTTCACTTCCAATTTGGCCAGTCAAGAACTCTCACGTCNTGTGTGACCTATCTACAATGTCAGACTTCCAATAGTATTTGGATGTTATTTCACTTCCAATTTGCAATCCAAATCTTTATTTTGATTTGCACTTCCAATTAATAAACCCATATCCAATTAGTGATTATCGCAACATGTAGTGTCATGAAGAGCTGGTTTGAGGAGTTGTGAAATTTAAGGAGAATGTTAAGATATAACACATCTGTGTTGGGAGTTTTATGGTTTGGACATTTGGTATTGACATGGGCGCTTTCCATTGAGGAAAATAAGGACAAATTTTCTCCACAATGAAAGCAGTATCTACTGGGGATGAAATCTACCTCCTATTATGACCATGTGAGACCTGACTTGGATTAATAACTTAATGATAACAACTCGGCCAATATTACTGTCGGTTATTGCACATACTATCTCTGAGACTGATCTTGAAAATGACATGTAGGAGATTGTGATATATGATTGACATGTCTCCTCCTTTCTCAAATAATTTTTTTATTTTTTATTTGAGATGTCTCCTCATAATGGGTACCCCTCAGCTATGCAGAGCGCTTAGTTAGGAAGGGGAGCCGTATGTCCATTATCTTTTGATTCCATCATTTGATCGACAGTACAGAAATGCACAATTGAAGATACTTGATTTGTTGAAAAAACCTCATTATTTTGTGTCCTTACAATGTGTTTGTGAGTTAAAGGTACTTCTCGAATTTTCTTATTAATTGTGGGAGTAAGTTTCTAATTTTCTGTTACAGTTATATTGATAATGCTCAAAACGTAATACTAGTTTCATGCTTCCAAATTTCTTTCTGCTTTATCAGGTGTCAAGACAGCTCTCTGTTCATATTGAACCGGAACATTTGGTTCTGGATACACCTTTGCATGTGATGGGTGAGTTTGAAATACCACTGCGGATGCCGAGGTCCATTCCTTTGCCAGAGGGTAAGGTTCAATGGATTCTGCAAGTGAAAATTAGGGGCAGATGAAACGAACACTTCCAACATCTTATAATACAAAGTATCTGTGACAGAAGTTTAAATGATCTCTGCTTTCGAATGTGATGATGGTCTAAGCTTTATTGTTCATCTGTAGTTTTAGCATAGATGGTTGTCTTTTGGCAGAAAAAGATAGCATTTTGTTCAGTTTTTTGGACTTTTGGAATAACCTCCTGGAAATTTTTGGGATGATATTAGATTTTTATCACAATTTGATGGTCATTTGGACTGTTTTCCCTTTCCTTTAATCTGTGTATTATCAGCAGTGCCACAGCTTTGATCAGTGTAATTGTGGCGCATATATGGATTAATTAAAAGCATGTTAAATGCATAGGATTTATCATCATTGTCTTTCCATAATGTAACTTTCCTGCAAATTCCCGCTGCCAAAGTAGTCCAGCAGTTGTCTTTATTTTCTTNTATATATTATTAAGACGTGATAGTAGGTTAGTGATCATTTTTATCATGTTATAAAATAATATCATAAAAATTTATATGTAATTACCTCTGTGCTCCACCTGTGCTGATTTCTATAATAGTGTTTGGTTTTTCTGTAGCCGGTTTCGTAATCCTGAATTCTTGGCCCTTTTTTTTCTTTTTTCCTATCCTCAAAAGGGAACACAATGGAATTATTGCGATTGAAGATAGAAACTCTCATGTTAATTGTTCCAAGTTTCATGCTTGACTTTCAGATGAATTCATGGGTGTGTTTGGTATGATGGAAAGTATTTTCTGAAAAATATTTTTCAATTTTTTCATGCTTAGTAGGCTTAAATATTTTGGAAAATATTTTCCTTATAAATTCATTTTCCTCCAATTGGACAAAAATATTTTCCCTACCAAGAGAATGAAAATATTTTTCAAAATTCTTTTTCAAAATTCTTTTTCAATCTTCCCCACCTCCAACGCCCCAACTACCTTAACT